CCGGTTAGACTTGAAGAGGGACAACACCATCCCATATGTGAAAGTTCTTAATCTTGTTAATTGCCCGCTCAACGTGGATGCGAAGACTGGCAATTTCTTGTGTTGCCACAACATCTTCTGCAGCCATCTGGTCTGAACCACCAAGAAATGGAGGCAGTTTCACATGCACACCTTGAGGTAACATTAGGTCATCAATGGTAAATCCTTTATCGGCCATAACAAGATCTTTGTCATCAAATGGCAAGTCCAGAAAGCCACTGCGAACAACAATTTCTCTGTCAGATATTGAGCCAGTGTAAAGCTCACTCACAAAAATCATTGCACCGCCTGGTGAGATGCCAATTAAACCTTTCAGTGTTGTGTGATTTTTGTAATTGCTAAATAGTTCCCCATTAAGCTGTAAACTGCTTGGCATTTGGCATCGTACCTCAGTGCAGTCAATAATAACCCTTGTTGCTGAGTATTTTGCTTTAAAAGCTTCTGGCATGGTGTTGTCAATTACTGTTCTTGAGGGCCATATATTAATCTGAGCAAATTTAAGGTACATAAAATTGACCCAGGATATAACAACTCGGCTTACTGTTGATAATGAAATATGGAACAGATTACTCAGGTGCTCTTCAGCAAAGCCTTGTCTTAGACGACACATCACTAAGAAAAACTCATCAATTGCCTTAAGAGCTCTTGGTCGTCCTTTTTCTGATTTACTGTAGTGTTCGTTGTCGTAAATATCAAGTAAAGGTTCCTTGGTATTTAAAGATGTCCAGTACCTAATGTTTTGACCATATTCGCCAGGATCAAGGAAGTCAAATACTGTTTTAAACACCTCAAAGTCAGGAAATCCGGTGTAAAAGCTGATCGACGATGAGTTGGAACGAAATCTATCAACATTGAATAGTTTAGCTTTCAGTGCATCAGTCTGTTTCATAAGTTTATCAATCTCGGCTTTCAAACCAGCAATCTCTTTTTCCATTATTCCAATTAAATCGTTATGTTCTGTTTGAGATTCTTTGTCTTCGAATACTTTGTCTTCAGTCTGAGTTGTATTTTCAATGACCGAAGTCTCGTCCGTTTGAGTTGATATTTCTTGGTATGGTGGCTGTTCAATCGATTCCAAATTATCTTCATTCTCGCTAACAGCCTCTGAGATATCGTCAAAACCTGTTGCTACTAAATGTCTGAATGGCGGGGGCTTTCGTTTACGAGGAGACGTGCGCCACGAAAATACTGAAGGAACGACTCCAGGTTTGAGATTTATCTTACTTCCACCTAGCGATCTCTGAAAGTCCTCCGTTTTAAAATGCCTCGAGCATACCTTAGTGGATTTACTTATCTGAAAGTTTTTCCCTTCATGTCTCCTGATTGCATGACTCCACTGTTTTCGTAGAGATTTATCAGTAGGGAAAATAAAATAAGAAATTTTTTTACCCTCTTCAAGATAGCCTTTCTTGGTGCAGCCGGGAACACAGCAGTGCGTAGGCATTGTTTCGACGAAAAAATTTGCCCTGAAATAATCACCATTTCCCAATCAATCGAAATCTTGACTTGTTCACATTGTGATTCAGTTTTTCAGCGTGGATTTTTTCAAATTCGAAGCGTTATGAAGGATGTACTAATAAAACTTCCAAACTTTGACAAGTTGATCGCGCTACACGTGAAAGATATTTGTTTTGATCAGGCCTTTGATGCCTCGTTTCGATGCACTCGTTACCAGTTTTCCAACTCCGGTCGCACTGTGCCGCCATTTTTGAAAGCCGTCTATGGCAGCCCTTTTTTGCAGAGATCTAAAAATTTGCGCGGCAGCTAGTCCCTATAGAACTAAAATTTGGGCAAGGATGTTAGATCTATGTTCATTTATTCATCTGTTTTGTAACGTTCATAAAAGCATCGGTTACCTCACAAATAGCCTCGAGCTAAACAGCTGGCTCAGGCTTACTCTGAATCGATATTACCATACTAAAGAGTTTTACACACAGCGTAAGACAAGCAAATACAGTCTATGGCTGATGACTTTGTGGCTTACCTGTTCTCATTATTACACTATTTTTTTTTCCAATTTGTGAGACACTTCCACTCCGATGTAAGACACGGTAAATCATAGAGTTAAAGCCCTTTTCTCCCAGTTTTCAGGCACGGAAATCCCTGCCATACCTGAGATTGGCTCTGGAAAATATCCAGACGATTCTAAGATTATAGCAGCGTGCCAATATACCGGAGAAATAGAGCTGTTGTACTAGTAGTTATGGCTTTCGGGACAAACCAGTTCATTGAATTTTGTAAATATGGAAATATGGATTAGTTCTTTTTTTTGAGTTTGGCAAAACATCGTTGGAGCGCTTCCTTTACAATTCTTGCAATAATTGCTGTGTTCACTTCATGTAGAATTTAAGAAGTGTGAAAAAATTTAAAGCGCGCTTACTCAGCCAATCTCAAGCCGAACTTTTAAAACATCTATTCCTGGCAAGTTGTTTTGAAGATTTTACCACGTAAGGTGACGGAAATTTTATAATTGTAACCTCCTATGTACGTCAGCTTATCGATGTTTTGAAAACACGTCTACAAACAATCGGTTTTATTCTTATTGGAGATTAGTTTACGAAGTCGTGTTGTTCGGAAGGAAGCCCGTCGCGTTTCAAACTTGTGATAAACGAAGGGAATGTACGCACCAAAACAGAAGAAAAATTATATCATCGCCCGCGAAGGTAACACTTTTACTTAAAAAGAGTGATGACAAGCTTTCTGTGAAAATGTCAAAAAATGCAAACGTCATGAGGCGTTAGCCACTATTATTCCTCTGCAAATCAAAGCACCTGTCGTTTGTCAGCCATGCCAGAGTTTTACTGCGCACGGAGCGAATGAAAATTGGACGAGAACGCCAATATCTTTCTGATAGCATTTTCCTGTGAATAATTAAGCGTACTTCAACAGCTTATCGAATTTCAAGTTCCTTCCTCAATAAGGGTATTCTATAGGGAGCTTAAAGCCTGGAAGTATCGATGTGCAAGGCCTGAGACAAATCGGTAAGTACTTTACGATTTACAAACGGCCTTTTCGTGGCTCTGTTTTTCACAATTTTCAAGTAACATCGCATTAAAAAAACCAATTAAAGCTACCTTGGAATGGTCTCCCCTTTTTTTTTTTCTCGAATGTTTCCTTCGTTATACGAAGAAGAATATTTAAATATGAGAAAATAACTGCAAATATAGCACAAGCTATTGAAATATTTCAATCAACTAAACCTTTCTCTGCAATTCATACTGTTATCGATAATCACATCTATACATATAAACCGCCATCGGAAAAAAATTCACACTGATTAAAAAAATAAAGATTTTTTCAGATTTTCCCTTTGTAGTGATAAATATTTGCTACAAACCGGTGGGAAAAAATCATATTTAAAATTATATACCTCTATTTATTATAATATATTCATTTTGCTTAAAATTAAAATAGAAGAGTAAAAATCTCTAACTAGTCGATACCTTGGAAGATGAGAATAATTCTCCAGCGGCGAATCATCGTTGAAATTTTTCTTCGTTATTGTCTTTATAGATTGTAAGATTATTTGCTGTCTAATTTTTTCTGAAAATTTTAGTCTGGTATACAAATAATTTTTCAAAATATTTAATGAGATATTTTTAATGACAATCGTGGGCTTATATCTCATGCCTGAAACCATTGAACCACTGATTAAAAGTGGTATCACTGAAGGTTACCTGAATAAACACGAATCAAGTTGACAGCTCGCCTCTTGATTTAACATTTTGCGCTGATTTTCTCTCGTGTATTTCATTTTGTAAAAAGTTCAACAACCTCCATGCAAAAACAGAAGCTCTATCAAACTAAACAAAGGCGATTTTGCTACGATCTTGCCATTTCAAATCAATCAGACAATTTATCTGACAAGTTTTTTTCCTTCATCTAAATTGATTCGAGTGAATGATGCTTCTTGTATGTCGAGGATGTAACTCTGAAAAACGATTCCTTTAGTTTAAATTATTAATTATTTTCTTAATATATTCTTCCAAAATTGCTCGTTTGATTCTATGAAAATGGGCTATAACAAATGCCACATTACAGCTGAATAAATCATAAATGTATTCTTGATCTAAAATATCACCATGGCAACACCAAGTCATCTTAGAAACACCTTTAATTCTGGCATTATGTGTCAGTACTTAGAAATAAGTACTGAATGACCCCCGTTCGTATCATAAAATCGAATTCAGCATAAAATGATTAATTTTTTTGCAGTCTTAAAATTTGTAGCATCGGGGCAAAGCAAGAGAAAATATTCCTTTACAGTATTTCCTCTTGGTCAAAGCCACCTTAAATTATCGATCGGAGGCTCTACAGCGACACATTTTCTCAGAGCTTTGCAAAAAGATGAATCTACCTGGCAGTTAAAATGAAAACTGCCAGGACTGGGTTTCGAGTTTGCGGAACTCTCGAGAAATTCTCCCCGCCTCTAGCCTCCCGAGTATTTAAATGAGGCTTTAGGCTTGTAAACGCGGAAACCTCGCGTATGTAAAACGTCACAAACGCGTCCAGAAGTTCTTATCTAAACACATCTATCAATCAATGATACGAGTGCGCGCACCATTCAAATGAAAAGTTTCCTTGAAAACATCATTATTATTTCACGAGAAAAAAGAAATTACTTTAAAATGGGACAACTATCGTCGCCAAGAGCAGTAGATATTACTAATTACGAAACATTTATTGGAAAATTCATCACAGATATAGCAATTTAAAAATGTCTGCCAACTTCAAATGCATAATAGTATACTTCGCACACATTTTACATAGTCTCTTAATATTTCTTTTTACACCGCAAGTTTACTAATCGGACCGAAACCGATTGCGCACTCTCCAAGGGCTGAATTAAAGTCAGTTCTTCTCCTAAGAGATTTTTCAAATTAAATGAACTGCGCGCGCTAATTAAAGAAAATCTTTTGGGGTTAGCTTTCGAAAGTACATTACGGCAGAGAGACATTAATTAAGACGGCAATTATTACTTTACACTACACGAACAAGGGTGATTAGTTTTGAAACATCCCTTTTCGAGTAGTAATAACATCTGGTAGATAAAAGAAATTACGGAAAAGTAAAAGCTTTTATCGTGTACCTTGTTTGCTAATCTTTGAACTAAAAGAATCGTCCTTGGTATTTTGATGATAATTTCGTGAAAACAAATTTCATAAACTTTGCAAAATATCGAGTGTATAACAAATGCCATATGATTGTCACAGAAAATTTATTACTTGCCACTACCGCGCGAATTGAAAGCGTCCATTTCGTGGTACCATGTTTCTATGAACAATTATCTTCAATTGTGTGGGCGAGTTAATTCAAGATTCCTAACTATATTTGGAATCGAAATCTTTCTGAGAAAAACAGAAAACCGAGAGCTCGATTCGTACAACTTAATGTTGTAAGCTGGAAGTGCGTGTTTGACAGTTTAGCTGCCTCTCTTAACGATGAATTTTAAAAATTAGCAAATGGCCTTAATTTGTTACTATCCAAACAGTCTCATTAGCATGTCATTTCTGTTTTCATTTTTAGAGCACAATGCAGAATTGAGAACAGCAATTTCCGGACAGCCAAGACTTAAAGATCACGGAATATTAAGACCTAAGAAAAGACATTTACACAACTTCCACGTTTTTTAGGCTTCAAGCTGTTTTAAACCATTCTTACTAATAAGCAATCATGTCGAGAGAGACCTCAACTACATCACCACCTACAATTCAAGCCGGGAACGGAGAATCAATAGATTCTGATGACGCGACATGGATTCTGACGAGCGCCTTTATTATTTTCACAATGCAATCAGGTTTCGGTCTTCTCGAATCCGGAATGGTGTCTAGAAAAAACGAAGCCAATATAATGGTCAAAAACGCGGTGGATGTCATTTACGGTGGACTTTCTTATTGGCTTTTTGGATTTGCACTCAGTTTTGGAAAACAACAAATTGGGAATGGTTTCAGCGGTTTGGGATATTTTCTGACAGACGCAAACGAAAGCGAAATGGGGCAGGTGTTCTCAAAGTATTTTTTTCAGCTCTCTTTTTCAACGACGGCGACTACCATTGTTTCCGGCGCAATGGCGGAAAGAACAAACTTAAAAGCCTATACACTTTACTCGTTTTTGAACACTTTGACGTACACACTCCCTGCTCACTGGATTTGGGCTGAAAATGGCTGGCTTCGGAGAATGGGAGCAGTTGACATCGCCGGTTGCGGAGCTGTACATTTAGTCGGAGGTATGAGTGGATTGGTAGCGACGATGATATTAAAGCCCCGAACGGGAAGATTTGATACAAATTCTCCACCTCTGCAGATGGCCTCCCCGACAAATGTTCTCCTGGGAACTTTCATGTTATGGTGGGGTTGGTTGGGTTTCAACTGTGGCAGTACATTTGGAATCAGTGGCATGAAATGGAAACTTGCGTCAAGGTACAAGTATTCCCGTATCTTGAATAAATATTAAATATTTATTTAAAAATGTTGAATACACTAGTCCTATCATCCGCTGAAATATGATAATCTGCTCATCTCAAAATTCCAAAATTTATCTCCTTTAATCAGATATAACAAAGGACCGTTTATATTATAAATCGCCTAAAAGATGGTCGGTGGTTTTGGTTGTGTCACGATAAAATTTACCTGACCCCCCTTCCCACTAGCCTCTGTAATTTTCTCATGAACACCGCTCATTGGCGATTAATTTGCTACAGTCTATCCCTTATACTCTGTTGGCAACAACCAATCTTCCTTCCGTTCCCCCCTGAAAACAATGTGAAACCCCTCAACTAATCCTACGTCCCCCCAGGCGACAAATACTGTTGTTTCCTGATTTCCTATGTCTGGAGGTAGGGGAAGACGAAAATGTTTTGCAATTTTTTCGTGCATAAAGTTTGAAGCGCCCCTAAAATTTTGCAATCAGTGGTTTTAACAAATCGGTGTATCTTATCAAACAGGTCAGCTGTAGTTACAATCAACGGCTCTATTGGCGGAGGGATACTGGGCATGCTGTACAGGTAAATGAATACCGATAAATGTGCCAAAAATTCGCCTGTGGACACCGCCATTTTGGGATCAACTAAGTAACCTGGCCGCTCACGTATACCCACAACGTTCGATTTACAGACAGCTTCTGCCCTGTTTATTGCTGTAGCTCCTAATTGTTCAAACAGGTCATAAAGAGAAGTGAGATATTCTAACATCACAGGCATGCGGTCAGGTTGCTAAAAAAAAGATTAAAAAAAGCGGCATCCAGACTGCATGCGTTTGAAAACTCGGTCAGCTAGGTTTACAATTTTAAAATTACTTTGTGATGGAGGAGATGATAATTATGTGGATGCAGGAGCGTGCTTCTCTCTTACAAAATCAGAAAGGAGTTCAGTCTGTTCACCTGATCCTCTGCTAGATAATTAGTTGATCCTCTCATACAACCAGAAAGCAGCGCTGTGTTATTTTTTTTTTTTTTTCAGCTACGTCTTCTTCAAAAAGAAGATAGATATTCCGACGTTTGTAACCGGGATTTTAGCAGGGCTCGTCAGTATTACAGGTATTTTTCCTTAAAACTAATAAAATGTAATGAAATCCAATGAAGGCTCAATCTCATAAAAAAGAGCCATAACAAAATAAAAAGACGGAAAAATCTGAAACGTGTGAAGTCACTGTTATGCTAGAACTTAGCCAATTAAAATGTGAAAGCCCATTCATTCATAAGGGTGTAATTAAAGGAGGAGGACCGTAGGGGCGTATATGACCTCCATCTATCAAAATTAATTCAAATAATGTGCGAGGAGTTTTACACCGAACTCTATAACACGAGACCACCACAGGATCAACCTATCATCAACCTATCATTGATGGAAACAGGTCCACATGGTCTACATGGAAACAGGTCCAATCCCTCCCATCCTACCATCAGAAGTGAAAAACGCAATCAAGCGTCTAAAGCGTGATAAGGCTCCTGGAGAGGACAATATCTCCGCTGGCATTCTACAGGATGGGGGGGGGGGGAGAGCCTATTGTTAAGATACTCACAAAGCTTTTCAACAGATGCGTTGTGGAAGGCAAAGTCCCCAGCTGTTGGAAGAACGCATCGGTTATCATCATCCACAAGAAGGGAGACACGGCTGATGTTAAGAACATCAATCACGTAGCTCCATTTTCTGCCTTTAAAAGCACACACAACCCACAATTCCTCTATTCGCTCCGACGAGGAGCTAACGCTCGAAACGTCAGCTGTTATAATTTGGATATATCAACAAAGTTGAAATGGTAAATTGGCCACCGTAACGGTGGCCAATTTACCATTTCAACTTTGTTGATACATTCAAATTATTCGTTACCCCCACCGACGTAGCCCCAAACAGTTTCTTTAGAAACTATCAGCCTTTATTCATTCATTCAGGCCGATCAGCCTTCTACCAGTAACGTACAAAGTATTTTCACAAATCCTGCTTCGAAGTATGCTAGGCGCCTTGGATCAATACCGACCAAGAAAGTAAGCAGGCTTCAGGGCGGGTTTCTCCGGCTACGGTCGACCACATTCACGTTGTAAGTCAGCTTCAAGAGAAGGCAAACGAGTGTAAGATTCCACTCTGTTTTGCCTTTGTAGACTACGAGAAGGCCTTCGACTCCATTGAATTTACACCGCTTTTCAAGGCTCTGGAAAACCAAAGAGTTGATCAGGATTATATCACTATCTTACGCTTTTTAATTTACGATTTTTTAGAATTTAATTGCTATGTTAATTAGTTTATAATTTTGTAAAGCGCTTGGGAGAACTAGTCGAGCTTAGCGCTATATAAATGCTTTATTATTATCATTATTACTATTATTATTATTATTTTTAAGGATTTTCCTTCTAATCAAGAGGATAAACTGCAACACCACCTAACATCTCAAGGTTTCTTCTTCTCAAATGTTATCAAGTATTTATTGTCATCTGTTAATTCTATTTGGTCAGTGGCCCAGTCCCATCTGCCGAAGAACATTTACAACTTTACCATCCGTTACATCAACAACTCTCTACCTACACGTAAGAATTTGGTAAGATGGGGATTATCACAAAGTCCTGATTGTTCCTTTTGCCTTAATCCTGAGTCACTCCTTCATGTTGTCGCTGGTTGTCAACAATGCCATGATCGCTTTACCTGGAGACACGACTCAATCCTTAACTTCATTGCCAAGTCCCTTCAACCTGTAATTAATGTTAGCTCCTCAATCTATGCAGATGTTACTGGTTTTCTAAATCCCTCAATAATAACTGGTGAAAATTATCGCCCAGATCTTCTTTTCCTAACCCAGTCCAAGTGCCTATATGTTCTAGAATTAACAGTTGGTTTCGAATCTAACTTGTACAACAATGCAGTGCGTAAAAAAGAAAAAATATCGGAACTTGATCAACAAAATGAGTAGAACTTTCAGATCTGTGAAATTTTTAAATCTCTCCATGAGCTCCCTTGGCGTTTGCTCAGATGAATGCTCTACGTTCTTAGGCATGATGAATGACATAGGCATTGCCAAAAGGCAGCAACTTTACATAATCAAGAAAATGATAAATATAGCTATTAGAGCAACATATTACGTCGTTTGTTGTAGAAATAGGAATTGGGACAACCCAGATTTGATGCAATTTGATTTTTGTGTGTGTGTTGAATAAGCCAATCTCAAGCAGCATTTGTAAATCGCCTATACGTAGTGAGATTTACAGTTGTACATTTAAAAACACAAATAAAGTTTCCATTATTATTATATAAATGCTTTATTATTATTATTATTATTATTATTATTATTATTATTATTATTATTATTATTACGTGGCCTGTACAATAATGCCACCTCGGTTCTAAAACTACATAAGGACAGTGATAAAATAACGTTGGAGAGGGGAGCTAGACAGGGTGACAACATATCACCTAGACTCTTTATATCATGTCTTCAGGATGCGATCAGAAAGAGAATTGAATGGGAAGGCAGAGGCCTCTCCATCGGTGGAGAATACCTCTTCCATCTAATTTTTGCTGACGATATCATCTTGTTGGCCAAGTCACCAGAGGAAGTGAACAGTATGCTCATTGACATCCATAGGACAAGCAAACCAGTTTGCCTCTACATGCATCTAGGCAAGACTAAAGGGATGTTCAATGACCACGTCAACAAGTCAACAATGACTGTCGATGGCAAGACCACTGAGGAGGCAGACAGCTATGTCTACTTTGGAAAGACATTGACACGAGATGGTGACCTACTTCCTGAGATTAGGAGAAGGATTGCACGTGGTTGGGCAGCCTTTGGAAAAGTGGAAAGCATTATGAGAAGCCGCAAGGCAAGTATGAAGATCAAGAGGAAGATACACAATGAGTACATTCTACCATTAATGACTAACGGGTGCGAGACATGGGCATTGAACAACGCTATGGCAGACTGAAGCTTGCGGTCGCACAGCGAAAGATAGAACGCATAATGCTGAACATTTCCCTTCGAGACCGAAGGCGAAACACCTGGATTCGACAAGAAACTGGTGTAAGCGACATCGTCAATGCTATCAGGATGGCAAAGCACAGGTGGGCGGGTCACATAGCACGGCTGTCAGATAATAGATGGACCATTAGAGCAACGTAGAGGACCCCAAGAGATTGGACCAGAAAACAGAGTCGTCCAAAAACACGATGGAGAGATGATCTCACCAGACAGCTGGGACCTGCGTGGTCGAGATTGGCTAAAGTCAGATGCCTGTGGGATCATTCCAGGGATTCCTCCACCACGAGTGAATTTAGCCCTGATGATGATGATGATGATGAATACATTTTACAATAGAGTGATGTTTGATAAGATAACTCATAATGGAAATAACCCGGTTGACCTCGAGAAGCCACAAAGGCGCTGTTATGTGACTCAAGTGTTGGGGTTATTTCCCAGGATACCAGAAGATTATTCTTTCAAAATTATTTTTGATAAGGACAAAACTTACAAAATTTAAGATTTAATCTTGTCTGTGTAGTCGTTGCAAAGGTTGACATAATTTCAAATGATCTGGTAAGCCTCAACTCACAAAAAATTACGTAATTAACTTATTTTCCTTTATTCTCTGCACAGCCATTTGTTCCCTTGCTCGCCCATGGGAAGCTCTCCTTATTGGTGCAATCGGTGCCATGTTGGCCTGTCCCGGATGTGCTCTTCTTGAATGGCTCAAAATCGATGATCCTGTCAGCTGTGTTCCGACTCATGGTTTGGCAGGGATCTGGGGCCTAGTTGCTGTTGGCTTGTTTGCTGAGAAAGACATACTGGAACGTAGATTTTCCAACGAGTTTGGAGTCTTCAAAGGTGGTCCTTGGAGATTTTTAGGCATTCAGTTGCTTATGTCCGTCGTAATCGCCACGTGGGCCGGTGTCACAACATTACTGGAGCTACTACTGGTCGATCGACTGCTTGGACTGCGCATGAGCGTTGAGGAAGAGTTGCTGGGCGCTGATAAAGTCGAGCATGGGATTGACGATGACGACAGTCCCGATACCACCCGCGAGGCGAAGGAGGGAGAAGGAGACCACAACATGACAATAGTAGAACTAGATCTAAACGCCGTGGAAAAAGGTGAGATTGGCACCGCTTTGTCCAAAACAGACAACGGACGAAAACATTCGCGCAAAATAATCCGTACCAGAAGGAAATTCCCTCGGCTGAATTGGCGAAGAGCTGTTTCATTAAGGAGCTCTGCATACGAAAACTCTTGCCGTGGTACATTTTCTTTACAAGACACCTATAGCAACGGCAGTGTCAAACTGAACGTTATAACTGAGCATGCTCAAGAAAACGGAAACCTGCCAACTACAACTGCGAACAGTAATATTTTTCATACAAACTGATACTGGAAAAAGAAATTGTTTTAGTTAAAAGAGCAAACCAAGGGGCTACCTTTTAAATCCTTTTATCTACTATATCAATTTAGTTCGTGTAACCTTGAATAAAAATAAAAAAAATAGATAAATGAAGAAATGAATAAAGAAATATTTTAACTAACGTTTCGAATAACATTTTGTCTTTTGAGAGGTGAATGTTTATTCAACTAAACCCTTTAAATAATAAATAATAAATAATAATTTAGCAATGGACATTCCACTGGGTGGCTCTTCTTGTCCACTGCTTCCAGATCGAATTGGAATTTGGAATGTTGGTTTTTGCGAAGGGAGGAAAACCGGAGGACCAGGAGAAAAACCCTCGGAGCAAGGACGAGAACCAACAACAAACTCAACCCACATGTAACGCCAGGGGCTCGTTTCTCGAAAGTTCGGTAACATAACGGGCCCGTAGAGCTTTTCTGTTTTCGTTCAAGATGGGGATTTCAAAAGTTTTGAAAATGATACAATAAAACTACTTGCAAAACAGAAAAGAAGGACAGGTTTGGGTGCCAGAACCTGCTTTCGTATCCTTTAAATTTTGATTTTCAAACATGGCTTTGGGCCTGTTAATTGTTAAGTTACCGGGACTTTCGGTACCCGGGCCACATTTGTGGGAAGCGAGTGCCCTCACCACTGCGCCATCCCTGCTTTATTAAAGGGTTTGAATTGACATGGAGGTAAAAGTAATCAAAAATCCACTTTAAAGGAATAAGAAAGGCTATAAAAGCACAAATGACCTGAGCCATAATCAAAGAAGGTCAAAATGAATTTTTTCGGCTTTGTGATATTTGAAGCTTGATTTCACCCAAAACCCACGCCCTATTGGAATGGATCGCCTTATTGATTACATATATAGGGGTAACTTTTCCCAAAAGCTCATCTGCAGGTATGTGTGGGAAGGAGGTAAATTCGAAAGTAATCTGGAATTAAATCATTACCACTTCTCGATGTTCTGTATCTGTAATCAATTAAAACTTTTCCAACCACTTTCTTGACCAATTAGATGCAAAACAAGACATGTTGTCTTGACCTGCTTTGAGTCCTTATTGGCTCGTTTATGTTGTGTGTACATCTTATTTTGAAAGGCTTTCGATTGAAATCCGAAAGCTTGCGTTTGCGAAAAACCTTTCGATTCGAGAACGTCTTTTTTTTTTTTCACATTACTGGTTATTCCTCGACTTCGAGCGTTAATTAAAAATTACCTGGTCAATTACTCGCCACATGAATTTCATATCCCAATATTTAAACAATACAGAAAAAAGCTTACCATACAGTGCGCACTGAACAGTCAATCATTAATTGTCAACGCTTTGTGAAACTCCAAAACATATTCACGGCCTTTCGTCTAGCATAATGGTGGCCACTTTTAAACTTATTAGACCACCAATTCTTGACATTGAATGCTATTGTGTTGAGAAGAAGAATTGGGAAATCGCGTGGTATCCTCTTCAGAGAAAAGTGTGCCTCTTTCAAATGTCAGACACGAGAAATCATCACCTTCATTTGCAACGATCCCATGTTCCCATTTGTCGGCACCATCGAGCTCCTTCTCACCTGACATGCGCAGACAGGTCAACTTATTAATAGCAAAAAGTTCCAGGAATGTGGTAATTACAGTCCACGTTACAATGGTGACAGCAGTGAGTGCTTGAACACCCAGGAATTTCCAACTACCCCCCTCGAAAACACCATAGTGTTTGGACATCAACGGGTTCCGCTCGACAACAAGACCTACCACTATTATCCCCCATCGGCCAGTGATACCGTGTGTTGAAATACAGCGTACTGGATCATCAATGCGCATGCGTTCGAGGAGGATGTTGCCAAAACAGCCAACTGCGCCCCCAATGAAGCCGATTAGCACACTCTCCCAAGGAGTTACGACAGGACAAATGGCTAAGAAATGAAAAATGGAGAACAAAATACGAATAGTTATATTGCGTAACAGACGTATGAAAGTGCATCTTTTAATGGTACGACAGAGCGAAAGCATGGGGGTTGGGTGGTTGGGTCCTGGCATACCGATAAGACTAACCTTACATAATTGTTTATTATGATATGATAATAGTCCCAGACCTTCCAGACCTTCCACGGTCAAACGGTTGTAACAGGTGCAATTACACAGTAGGATCTGAGTACGAAATCAATATAATACAAAAGGTGACGAGGACAAGCGCTCTACACTCACTCTACATCCTTAGTCTTGGTTCTTATTTTGGCTTAACTGCGCACCCACTCCTCCCCTAACATCAACCCTAACTTGTTATCAGTTGACTGTTGTTGGGTCAGGGGAGGAGTGGGTGCGCAGTTGTTCAGATTCTTACCTGTTATGCTTACGAGTCCAGAAATAATGCCAGTCACAAAAACATCAGTTAGAAGCTTGTTCTTATATGCTAGATAGCAAGAGAGAAAAGGTAAACATGTGATCAGCCCATGCAAATTAGTGTTATTTAACAATCACTGGATGAGGCTCAGCACGATTTCGAGAATAATCATCGCCATTACAATTTCCTTAAATGTGATTGGTGCTTTAGCTGCTTTATATTTTACCTATTATTCTGTAGAGTTGTAATCGGACAGTATAATCGCACAGTTGGCTGTAATCGAACACCTGTCATTGGGCAGTTAAAGCAGCCAATAATACTAGGTCCACTCAGCTAAATCCACACATCGCAGAATTGATCACAATAACCATAGCAATAACCGCTTATCCTAAAAACCTGGGGAACTTACAAAATGGAGGAATTTTTTTTTAGGATATAGATTGTCTTCTTTGGAGGTATTTTCCCTAGATGTTTTTTTTTTCCCAAAATTGTATTGGTTATGATTTAATTGTAACAGAACTTCCTATCGTCGAACTCTACTGGGTCCTATTACTATTATTATTAATCAAGGCGGAAGCTGTTGAAGCTGTTGACTGACGCTGATAACGCAAACCGAGGCCTTGATAATTTTCGCTATCATGCGAATACCGAATCTTATAATCGTTTCCTTATGCAATATCAAAACTCTGTTTTTAGCATAACATCTCCTCTGCATGTATAAAAATTGTTATTCGTAAGCATTAGAGTTAATTACTTGCCGGTAACCAATTCCAACTGTCAGAGCTCATAAAAAATATTGCTGTTCATCAAAACAGGCGGTTTGTTTGTCAGCGTTTCTCAGCTGAAAGTCACTTTCTTACCTAAACCCTGTTGCAAAAACTCATCCACCGATCGCACCGTTGAGTGTCACGACGGCAGCTGTACGAATAATAAATAAAATTTTCATCATTAAAAGCTCCTAAAGGAGCTCGGCACTTGATTGTAGCAAAGAAAAGAAAAATAGCCTTTCTCATCGTGTGGGTTTGGTTTTTTTTTATACGCCCGTGCACTGTAAAAGTAAAAAAAAACAGACGCATTTAAAATTGTTTAATTTTATATGTCCGACGCTAAAAATAAGGTCTCTAACAAGGTTTCTTTTGTGCAATGCGATCGTAGTAGATATATTTAATGCATCACTCTTTGCCCATTCCAATAATACACGATTTGGTGGATCAGTTTTTAATTTGGTGTAAGGAAAATAGTATGATTTGTTATCCGTCGAAATGTAAAGAAATTATGTATATGTGCACGATCCTTCGCAGTAAAGCACTATTTGAGCAATAGTGAAAATCAGACCTGAAAAAAATTTCAGGCCTGTACGGGATTCGAACCACTGACCTCTGCGATACTAGTGCAGCGCTCTACCAATTGAGCTAACAAGCCAACTGGGAGCAGGCCATCAAATTAATTCGACATAAACCCGTAGATGATAAATCAAACAACAACAAACATATGAAACATATGTTCGATGCGTGCCCCAAACAGTTTCTTTGGAAACTATCAGCCTAAATCCCACAGGTATTAACGAACGCTTTTCATTCCACTTATTTATTCGTGTTTTTCTCGTTGCCATGTTCCCACCAATAACGTAGCTCCATTTTCTGCCTTTAAAAGCACACACAACCCACAATTCCTCTATTCGCTCCGACGAAGGGCAAACGCTCGAAACGTCAGCTTTTGTAATCGTTACGGTGGCCAATTTACTATTTCAACTTTGTTGACATATCCAAATTATTTCGTTACTCCCACCGACGCAGCCCCAAACAGTTTCTTTCAAATCTATCAGCCTTTATAACTTAAGATATGTTTTTTTACCTTAGGAGGAATAAAGATTGATTGATTGATTGATTGATTGAATGAACCAGTAACGCAACGGAAGCGATGTTTCTGTCACTGACCTGGATGCAAGCTTCCACTTTTTCCTCCCGTGATCCCAAACGCGCTTGCTTCCACAGTTGAATCCAGGCCACCCCCACCACAGCATAAACATCCCAAGCATAACATTGGTCGGAGAGGCCATCATGTTAGGCCTGGGGCGATTATTCTCATCAAACTTTCCCAAGCGAGGCTTGAGGTAGGGCGTGGCTACCAAGCCACTAAAGCCGCCGACTATATGTACTGGACTGCAACCTGCCACATCTACGGCGTCGAGCTTGTAAAGCCAACCTTTCGGCTCCCACATCCAGTGCGCGGGTAAAGAATACGTGAGTGTGTTGATGAACGAGAACAAAATGTAGGCTTTAAGCTCGACGCGCTCTGCCATCGCTCCCGAGACGATCGTGGTCGCAGTTGTTGAAAATGACAGATGAAAGAAATACTTGGCGAACACGTGGCCCATTTCGTCTTCACCTGCGTCGGTAAAAAATTTACCACAGCCATTGAAAGCTGTCGTTCCATTATCCCTGTCAAAACTAATACCGAATCCAAACAACCAATAGGCGAGGCCACCGTAGATGACGTCTACTGCGTTTTTTACCATGATGTTCGTTTCGTTTTTCTTGGATACCATACCTGCTTCGAGGAGACCAAACCCCGACTGCATGGTAAAAATGATAAACGCTGACGTCAGAATCCATGTGGCGTCATCTGATTGGATCTCTTCATATTGAGGCGTAGCATACGGTGTTGACGTCACGCCGTGAAACGCCGCCGATATGAATGTGATGTTGGAGTGATTCATAATTTCTACCAACTCAATGACAATGGATAACTGAGAAAATAACATATCGCATAAGCTTTTAAAATAAAAAAATAAAACCTCTTTTGTGACAGGCCTAACGCAAATGCTCTAAATAAGGTCTCTTGTTACATAACAGTTAACAGAATTAACATTTTGTTCATTTTGCAATGGTTTCCTAAGCACCTGCCAAATGTTTTCATTTTGGTTATATTCTATTTATCTAAAACTTTCCAAATGCTGGTATTTCGTAAATCATCTGCAAACAATTTAGATCGGTGCATTTTTGCGGTAATTTTCCCTGTTTTACACACATTTTCTTTGCAACTGGAAAGTACAATTTATGAAATCTAAAATATTTTATAAATTAAATCAATTAGACTATAAAATTTCCTGTAAAATGGTGTTATGATGAAACAAGGCTTACGGGGAAAAGGAATGTTTCCCCAGTTAAACTACATGCCTCGAGATATCCACGTAATATTCAGCCGACAAATGAGACAAAGTAATTGTCATCTGCAAGGCTTAAATGAAACTTAGTGATATGATTTTTTAAAAAAAAAAAAAAACAAAAGGGGATCGTAAGAAGTTCCAAAATGTAGCTGAGTGAATTTCTTTGCGCTAAGAAAACTCTCGGCACCATTCTATTCCTGAAAATGGAAAACCACTCCAACTCGCAGAGCGCCGATCCATTTAGAAAATATTACCACTGAGTCTTACAGTTAAAAGCAGATAAAAATCACATTTAAGGGCCACAAAATCTGCCTCTCACCTGGCGGTTTGGTTTTTCTACAGTGAAAAATGCTTTTTAGCCGCTAATGTACTGTTTAACTGCACGAAAGCAGTAAAGTGGTGAAGGAAAAAGTTTAAAGGCTATCGTTACTTTATAAGAATCGTTTGTAGTAACAGCCACGGCTTCTTTACATGTTAAGGTAAAACTCCAAATGAAAGGGGCGGTAATGGTTATTACAATAAACTCAGAAGTGAATCATGATTTATTAATGTATTAAAAGCTGTCTAAATTAACAGAATATCATTTATCAGCGAGATGTGTCTGCTTAAGTCAATAAAACTCGTGTACTCAGAGGCTAAGAATTAAATTTTACTAGCGACTGTTGATTTTTATTTTTCCTTCTTGAAAAAATGGCCTTTTTATATTTCCCTGGTCTGTGATATATCACTTTGACCTCAGTGCCTGACTGCTGGTTGAGAATGGATAAATCTTAAAACAGTGCCGGCTTTAACTGTGATTTTAGAGGGTTGTAAAGAAAGGCTTCGAATGAGAAACGAGTTCTTGCGATAACCATTTAACTTAAATGGGCCAACCTTCTTTAATCAAAAACTGCGATAATGAACTTAAATAGAAACACGTTTTTAAGTAAAACTTCTTTAATAACTGACAGTAATTAAAGGTATACCCTAAGTGAGCAAAAAAAAAAAAAAGAAGAAAAGCTGCTTTCATTTCTTTGCAACATCTAACTGTCACAGCACACCTGCTCCAGAAGAGATGTAAAAGAAGTGTTTCTAAACATCCCAACATCCATTCGAGTAACTGCGAAAACCAAATACATCGGCTTCAATAATTTCTCTTCAACAGAGAAAGCTTCAATAATAGTTGCTTAGAACAACCAACAAGACTTGAGCCAGTCGTGATCTAATCCCTGACACCTACAATAGCTCATTGTCAGAAATACGCCGTTTAAAATCCTTTTCGAGCGCGTTCAGCCTACCTTGATTAGTTTCTCTTTGTTATAGTCGGATCGTTTTTAAGATAATCGCAGGGCTCTTTTGTTCACGAAAATTAAGAAATAACTGTTTACTCCTTTGCTTCAAGTCTGCATATATTGACTCTGTATTTATTTCAAATAATTACCGCCCCTGCAACTAAATTCGGTTGAACCGCGTGACGCGAACATGGTGACCTTGTTAGACAGATCATCTCCAATCAAGCTTGTTCGTGAGTACTTTGTTATCGTTGTTTATCCAGTCCTATTGGCATTTTGTGGACCTTGATTGTAAAACCGAAATTTCATCACAGATGGTAATTCAACATTTTAAAACTGTTCAGTGCCCGCTCGGACTTTCAGTTTCTGGCTACCAATTACATAAGTACCTTTTCACTAAATGATATTTTCCTGAACACATATGCCACTTTCTCTTGGCTTTACTTGAAGTTATTAAACTCTAATCAACTCGAGTGTATTTCAGAATAAAAGAAAACAAGCTTAATTCTTGTTAACTTCTAGTGTAGCGTTCCATACGATTGTGACCAGGATTGTAATAATCACAGGTTCCAATTTTTGTTACAAAACGCTCTGTGAGATCTTCACGGCATTTCAATGCATGACCGTCCGTTTAAAATCAATTTGTAGGCGCACAAAATCAATGTTAAGAACACAGTGCTCGGTCTTTCAATTAAACATCTTCCCTTAATTGATAACGCAAAGCTACTAGTGATGGGCCAAATTGGTTTTCTGACATTAAAAATTGTTGAAAAAAAGAACTTTTAGGAGCAGGTCGTTTAAATGGTTAGGGAGTGTAGTTAAATTTCCTCAACAGTCTATAACCCACTGACACAGCTTTTAAGCAATAATCTAGTTTACTTGGACTACTTTTAAAACGTACGCTTCCTGGTTTTTAATTTTCTCGAGATCTCGTTTGATTCAAAGGCTGGCTGCCCGTCGACATAAAATGAGGATTTTCTAGATAAAGTGTTAAACGTAGGACTGCTTTTAAAATGTTAACTTTATAACAATTGTGGAGTACCTTGCTAATCAATAATTGATTAACCGAGTCTGGAAAAGCCACTACACATTTGTCTCCAGTTCATCGCAATTCAGGTGAGCGGAAAAAAGACTGAGGTGTACACGAAGCATGGGTCACGCACGAGAAGAGAAGCGCGAAAACTCGTGCACGCCTCTCACACTGGCACAAGTGTTCTTCGCACTTGCTTTTCACTAAACTCAAACAGCTCGAAAAGCGCTAAAAAAAAGAGACCTCTTCTACTAGTGCATTGGCATCTTAGCAGATTTATGTGCACGTGTACACCATCCTATTTATTCGACTCACTTCACATGCTTTCTATAACTAGAATCATAAATTGGTAATTTTGATATACATCTTTTTTACAGATTTCTTTAACCTTCTATAACTAGAATCATAAATTGGTAGATTTACCGAGTCATTTTGATGACACCTTTTTTACAGATTTCTTTAACCTTCTATGACTAGAATCATAAATTGGTAGATTTACTGAGTCATTTTGATATACACCTTTTTTATAGATTTCTTTAACCTTATATAACTAGAATCATAAATTGGTAGATTTACCGAGTCATTTTGATATACATCTTTTTACAGATTTCTTTTACCTTTTACGGATCTTTGTTTTAAGCGGTGAGTTAAGGATGATCATTCGTTAAATGAACTAATATCAAATAGATTTCATGTTACCGTGGGTTTGTTCAATAATAGATCACAGATGACGTAAAAAAGTGGCACACGAGTTGGAGCCGAGTGTGTCACTAACATCCTTACCCGTTTTGATGCCTTATGTAATCTGTTACCGTACCGACCCAATTTGTTTTATGTGATGGATAAGGACGAAAAACCGTAGGCCCCGTCTCCCCTATCTTCCTTGTACTGGTTAGCAGGGGGCGTTGAAGAACCCACTCACACAAAGAATAGGGAACGTAGTTCCCGGTGTTCGGTGGTCTGGCCTTGATTCTAAAATTGTGGGCATCTGCAAAAATTTATTACAGAAATAGTAAACTGCTCAAAGCAGTCTCGCCAAAGTCCCCCGCTATGTGTTAAGCGCCATGAGCCATAGGATATTGCGCTTTAGAGATCCTCGTTATCATTATTATATTTATTATTTAAAAAAAATAAGGTTGGTAATGGTGACGCCATTTATGCGTCTGTCCTCCAATAGAGCATAAGTAAGAACCAATCAAAATGTGCGTATAACTGATTTCACCTTATTGTATAGAGGTCGTTTACACACCGCAAAGACTTGTTGAAAACGAAACAGATCACATGTTACTGATTCCTTCTTTCTATGCTCCTATGTTTTTATTTATTTATTTTTTGCTTTCTTTAAACTGGAGAATACCTTTCTTGGTCTAAATAACGTATAAACACAAACAAACAAGTCAAATAACGGGTGATATCTATCCCTTCAAGGCCTCTGTTATCCCATCTTTCATATGCTGTCTGATGGGTAAATTCACCAATGGAATCCACATCAGTATCTGGGAAACTACTCGCCCACCCCTCCCTCCCCTGTTCCAACAACAGTCAAATGATAGCAAGTTAGGTTAAATGTTGGATTAGGGGAGGGATGGGTACGTAGTTTCTTAGATACTGCCATCAATTCTAAAAGCGATTACTTTCATTCTCTCCTTACAGAGACAAGTTGTTCCAGAAACAAAACCTCAGATCAGAACAGTGATATATTCTTGACCAAATCATCCGGCACATTTTGTAGCCCTGATTACGACACTTTTGGAACTTATCCCAGAAACTCAACCTGTACATGGATCATTTCTCTTCAAAAGAAGAGAGTAAAACTGGCCTTTCTAGCTTTTGATCTTCAAAACGCGAGTCCAACTTGCCAAGATAGCGATTTTGTGTTAGTTCGGGACGGGGTATACTCAAATAGTCCAGTTCTTGGAACGTTTTGTGGTAACAGTATTCCTAATGATGTCATCTCAACTGGGAATCACCTGTGGATTCACTTCTGTTCAGACGGGTCTGCAGAGAAGCGAGGCTTTAAGGCGTCATACACCACGTATGATACGTCGACCGGTAAGTTGACTCTTAAATCATATTTCGTCTGAGACTGCGCGCTGATATCCCTTGGCAAGCGGTAATCATGACCTAACAAGCCTTAATCGAAGCAATCATATAAGTTTTTCCCAATTTTTTTTCCCTCGAAGAGTCAAAGTTTGCCAGAAAGCATTGGACACAGTTTCGTGATTCGCGCGTAAGCGCACTGTACAAAGCCTAAAAGGAACCAAAAGGCCCTTTGACTGCGCTTGTGCTTTTGCCTTTTTCGTAGAGGAGACCAAGCTTATGTTTATGTGATTCAGGTAAATAACGCCGGGGTGTACTTCACATTTGAGTGTACCTTACACGGTCTTGCAAACTTGGCCTGATGTGAATGTTTCATTTTGTATTTTTGCTCCCAGATTTTTCGGCCGTTTCTGTTCTTGTGGCATTGGCCGTTGTACTTTTCATTTTAATTGCGGTAGGCGTTGTAGCTTCAGTAATGAAAAGGAGAAAATCTCTTTCATCAACCCGCGTAAAAGTCTACAAAACCAGGCCTGGAATAACAATCAAGGTTTCTCCCGCTACACCAAGAGAAAATCGTAGTGAAGCATCGTTACATAAAGAGACAGTTACAAAGAGTAATTTAGCTCTTCCCAAGGAAACGCAGAAATTTCCGACTTGGATAAAACGCGGATGGAACACTGGTGACAGGAAAAAAAGGCGAAAAAACGGGAGCACCTGTGAGGAACAAACGTGTAGAACGCAGGAAAATTTTGAACGGAAAAAGGCGGGAAAAGCAAAAAGGGTTGCATTGGAGAAGAGTTAAAACCTGTTGAGAGATTGTTGCGAGCCCTTGTGCGAAGAGATGATGTGGTAACCTCCGAAAACGTTAACCAAGTAACGGATTTTAACAAACTGCGAGATGATGTGGCAACCTTCGAAAACGTTAACCAATTAACGGGGTTTAACAAAATAAGGATGTATTAAAAACAAGAATGTATATAAAAGTGGGTCTATTTTAATGAAAGGATTCCAACAGATTCAACGGGATACATGTACGGAGTATTTTTATGTTTTACAGATAATTGTTTAATGCTGTAATGATGGTTCACTTTCACAGGCTGCTACGAGAGGGTCGGAAAAATGATTAAACCGAAAAGTTTTCTCTGCTTCACGCGAAGGGGATCCGCCTGATGTGAAATAAAATGAAATGTGAATAATGCAAGGGTTTTCTTGGTATTCTTGTGCCATCCCTATAACATGTGTTTTATTATCTTTGCCAGACACAACGAACAAAAATCATCCACTTAGAAATGTGGGCTGCATCGATCCGAATATTGTCACATCTGACTGCTGTAACTTTGTGTGATGGTTTCAAGGGAGATCTTAAGCCACTATACTAAAAATAAGCTTCCAAACTGTTGCCCCAGTCCACGGCATCATCAACGAAAAGCTTGGAAGCTTATTTTTGATACAGAAGCTTAACGCTTTGACCCCTTAGAATGACCAGCATCTAATTTCTCCTTACAATATCACCCCTGAATCACACATTAAGGTCACGAGAATAAAGGAAATGATTATCAACTGAAAAAGTTGTCGATTGTTAAACAAATTCTCTTTGTCAGCACCTTAGGGAACGTACAAAGAACAGTATGGAGAATATGCATACTGATAATAGGGTGTAAAGGGGTTACGGCCTCACTCGGAACCAGTTATGTAATTACAATGCTACTTAGAGACAACATGCAACATGCAACATGCAACATGCAACATGCAACATGCAACGGTTCCTGTTGCTTGTGTGAAGATGTAAGAGACCAGTTGTCGTTTATCCCCCAGGGGGTGGGTGGGTGGAGGGTTTTGGGGGAGGATCACATGGTTTTCTGGAGAACGGAGGGGAAACAGTCGTCGCTAACAGTGTGTAAAAGGGGGCACTTAAGAAAATTGACTGCCATTTCACTGCCATGAGGGGGGGGGAAGGGTCATGAGAACATTAAAGAGCCCTAGGGGGTATCAGATAAATTTTATCGTAACACACCCAAAATCCCCCCCCAGCCTTTTACCGTAATGTGTCCAGTCCCTGATACGCATCCATTTCTGACAGCAGTAGTGCCGTGCATATCGAAATGCTTTACCTTCGGATTTAAAAGCAAAATATCTACAAATTAAACTCTATATCTATGAGGAGTCCCAACCTCGTTCCCAGGGCCTTTTCCCGCCCCACCCCAACTCCACCCCCAACTAAGGGAAAAGGCCCTGGAAACGAGGTTGTCAGGAGTCCATGACCCGGAGCGTACATCAGCGTAATGGACTCCTGACTGTATCCTGTCATTGGTAAAGACAAAATTGTTATCTTCCTTGCGGTCACGTAGATACAAGAACAATTGATTGTCCGCAAAAATCTGTCAGAACTTTCTTTCACGCCTGTCCTGTTTGAAAAGAGATTGCTCGGTGAGACAAAATGTCGGACTTCTCCGCTTAACTAATCAGATTTGGTATGTAATGTACTTTTCATCCGAAGAGGGCTTCAAATCCAACTGGTCGCTTCTCAGGGATGTAGCTTTCGGCAAAACTTCATCCATGTTATCCAAGAAACTATTAAATCGAACCCTTAGCGGGTCCATAGCCCTCTTTTATCGGAAAAGTGACCACAGATATGTCAGCACTCCAAACGGCGTTTCGAGGTAAATTAGATCTGTTTACTTTATCTAAGACAGCGAAAACACGCCAGAACAAGTTATTGTGGGAATTCTTCAGATTGCCAAGATTGTTCAGAGTTCCTAAGTTTTCGTCGAAAGCTGCAGAATGCAATACGTTCAGACACGCCCAGGAAAAACATGTAGAAAGAATGGAAGAATCTTTTAAACGATTATGGAATCCCACGGGAAGACTAGACAATCCCCTGACAAAACTGATATCGAAAGTTGGACTGATTGTTTTAAGAAGCTTGGACGAATAAGTTCGGCAACTTTAAGTTTATCTTCCAGTCATTAGCTACAAAATCCAATCAGATAATCCCTGAAAATAAAGAGCTTTAGTCGCAAACGCCCGATGACCCAACCGCAAAATATCCCCAAAAAAATCTTAAAAAAACAACAACAAAATGAAAAAGAACTTCTGATTGTTAAGGTTAAAAACTGTATCATTTTTCGCCGGATTACCTGAAGTGTCCTCTTAGCTTAAGAAGTGTGGGTTTTTTTATGAACTTTTGAGATTCAGAACGCTTTATCGTCGCATTTTTTTTCTAAAATGGGATGTTTGCTTTGGAATCCTACTTTGTAAACGTCAACTTGAACACAAGTAGACTTTTAGACTCATCTGGCGCTGGGTGGTGGTCTGAAAACAATCTGACCTTGATTTGTTTGCCTTGGTAAAGCAACTATTTTTTAAGCCTTCATTTACGTTTCGGCCGACATGGATGAGTATCGAGTTTCTGTGACCTGTGTCACTTCAAGTCTGTGAAAGCACAACATTGGTGCCAAATGATCCTTACGGAGTCTTTAAAACCGCAGCTCTCCAAGAGTTACTAATTCCTTCCCGATGGATTCTCTTTTCTCTCTCATTCTCGTGGCGATCGTTTCACGTAAGTACTTTAAGCAATTAAAATTTTTTACTTCGTTTTGAGTGAGACTTAACGTAAGCTTGCGCCGCTCTCAGAGTGTAAAGGTTCCTTCAGTGTGACATAATTTCCATTCTGCTGAGATCGGTTTGAAGCCATTCTTCGTCGCTGAACCCGAATCGTTTCATTGTTGTTAATAACCGCATACTTTGCACTGCCTAGCTGAGCTAATTTTCTCGGTATTTTCGTGGGCAAACAAAGGATTTAAACACAACAACATACTAATTTTCGTTTCAATGCCCGGCTCGTCTTTACCGAACAGAGAAACCAGCGTGTTGCAAGTTTGTCAGTTTCAAACCGAACTCAAGCTTTACTCTTCAGTCAAACCGAGGCGAGCATTTTCTCGAGTTCGGTTGGCTCATTTGCAGTACTTGGTGACTCGCCGCATGATTTGACGACTTGTGTCCTGTAAGCCATTCATTATTTATTATTTCTGTGAGCCATTCAGTTATTTGTGGTTTGCAAATGTTTCAAAAGGATTCAATACAGGAAACATCACAGATTATTATCTCATTTCTACCAAAGTAGTTTACTAGCGCGCAATTCGCCGAACGAGTAAACAAATACGGCTTTTCAACAAGGCGAGGTTGGCAAGATTGAAATACATTGAATATCGCTGGTTAAAGCAGTTTTTTTCTTTACTTCTCTGTAATGTTTCCGCTGTGCCATAAATAGTACAAAATAATCGACAATATTCATTCGTTCTCCGTTGGTGTTTGAGGTTTGTGGGGCAATTTTAAAGGTTAAATGAAGTCAGTGACAATCTAAAGACAATTGAGACTCCATCCACTTGGAATTCTGTCAGAGTTTACTCATGGTTTATTAAATTGATGTCAAAAAGTTATAGAAATGTATTAAGCTGACGTTAAGACCTTTAACCTTTTTGTTAACATAAGCCCTTATTTTAAATAAACTCTCAGATGGATCGCTCTACCGTGTCCACAAAAAAGTAATGGGATCCATATGCATCCGGCGCCGGTAAATGGACAGAAGCGTTATTATGTTGTATTCGCCGCGTCTTTAAGACTCCAATCCAAACTGCAAATTATTTTCACATGTTTTTCGATCTCACTCAACTTTTAAGATAGTAAACCAGGCTGATCAGTTAAAATCGTCCTGTTTTGATGACATACGTTGTGTAAGTCGACTCCAAATTGCTTTTTTTCTCCAATCAAAGTTTGGCCTGTTTGGCGCCTGAACATTAGGTGGTGTCAATAGGAATCTTTGAGCTATTCATCATCGTATCCCATCTCAAAGTTAAGTCGGTAAACGTTTTATTCTAATCCTGATGAAATTTATGTCTCAATAATGAACTAAATGGAGTGTTTATCTCTTTGTTGAAAAACAAACTCGTTGCTGCTGCTCGTGAAACTGTGGTAAGTGACACTGTTATTAATCAATGATCCATCATAATCTCCAGGCGCGCTAGCTAGGCCGGCGCCACACAGGTCATGCGTTGTGTCAATCAATATCCAAGGGGGGAGGAGTCGGGGGGTCCAAATCCGGCACTTTTCTCTCTGTTTCCCCATCATACAGTCCATGGCATTCCTTAAAATGACAATAGTCTGGCTAAAGAATAGCTTTACGGGTCAGAACCAATTCTTAGAATCTTAATCTTAGGAATGGTACAACGATTTTTATTTGGAACCAGTTGCTATTGGGGCTTTTAAGAAATGGGCCTTTGATCACCAAATTACTCGCTGACATCACAGAGGAATAAAGGAAATGGCGGTAAGTTCGGATCCCCCCTCCCCCCATCAGACCTGTTGGTACATTTTACCACTCATCTGAAACTGAAGTTCTTCCAACAACAGATCTCATATCACTCTTTAGCTTTAAGTATTGAAATTTTACTTCTCTTGAAATGTTACTTTACTTATTGAGGATTTTGTAATGAAAAAAAGACAAAAGAATCTGTCGTTCTGAGTGAAAGTTTTGGAACTAGTGAAAATTGGTTAAATTTCGCCATGCTTTTTCTTAAGGAATCCTTTTTTTTGGGTGTATGTATTTTCAAAAAATTTAGCTGGGGAATGGAAATACACCAAGAGGTAAGTCTATATTCTCTTAAGGTCATGGTCTCTTGTTGCAAGTTCGTAATTTTACCGAGACTTTTTTTTTATCAACTTATGCCTCTCTTATTTGCATTGAGGGAATGTTCTGAAGGCTGCTCGCCAGATGCAAATTTAAACACTCCAACTATAGAAATACACGAATGTTAAGATAAGTTAATGTTCTTTTGAGCTCATGGTCTCCGGTTCCAAGTTCGTAATTTTACCCAGACTTGTTTTCTCGACCAATGGCTCTCTTATTTGCAGTGAGGGAAACTTCTGAAGGCTGCTCGACAAACCGCACTACAGACGAGAATGATAGAATTGAAATCAGGGAACAGAAAGGTGAGCTTTCGAGCCCAGGATATCCTGATTTCTTCAAGGACGACATCCAATGCACTTGGTACATATACGTCAAGAGGAGACACTCTATTAATCTCGAATTTGAGTTCTTTGATTTTGGAGATTCCCCTTCGTGTTCAGACAATCAGGAAGTTGCACATGTGGAGGTGCGTGACGGAGTTCACCTTGATGGTAAGCGGCTCGGTTTGTTCTGTGGTCACGCAACACCTGAAAAGATCTCTACCACTGGCAACGAAATGTGGGTGAGATTTAAGGCAAACAAATACAGATCTGTGAAGTTTAAGGCGAAATACAGAGCTGTTAAAGGTGAGTCTAGTTTAGAGCACAGGTGTTCAGGAAAAGATGGAGATAAATTTCTATTCCTGACTCAAAATAAAATATAGATGTCTACTCAAGGGTAACTCAGTTCGGACCACAGTTTTAGTCCGGTATAAAAAATGTGTTATAGTTGAATATAAGGAGTCACAGAGGCGGATCCAATAATTTTTGATTGGGGAGGTCCAAACTTTGGTTCAGAAAGGACCGTTGGACTCTTTTGAGGCAAATTACTTCTCCCCTACACCCCCTCCCACCAGTCGCGGTTGCACGTTATAGTTCCTTGGTCGCTTACCGTTTACCTGGATTCATTAAAAAGATCAGCCAGTCAAAAAGTGATATACGATCCTGTCGATGTAAGAATTTCAATTTCAAAGTTGTAAGCGTCAGGTCTGTTGGGGGGGGGTCCGGACCCCCCGGACCCCCCCCTCGATCCGCCACTGACTCATATATATCTGTAAGAAAGGAAAGCACTGTTCTAACTATGGCTACTTAAAAGTTAAGCCTAAACCTCTCTGGACGTTATTATAAAAGCTTTGTTTGTGTTCTCTTCAGCATATTACAGACGATTGGTGCGTTAAACGCAATCAGCAGTGGAATTTTTACTCTGTTGTCGAGTTCTCGATCTCAGAGAAAGCGTAATTTGGTGATCTAGGCCACACGTGTTGGGATGTTGTTCTGCACATTGAAGGAGTAGAACAAGAAACCATAAAATTGTCATCTTCACCAAAACAAATTTGTAATGCACTGGAGTTTCGAGTAGTCAAAAAAGTGAAGATTCCAGTCCAATAACACAACCATTTAAATTTCAATATGGAGTTGAGCACATGGCAAAAAGCGCCCAACGCGCATAGGCAACCGTGTATATATGATACGACATGTCAAAAGTATTCCTGAAATTATGTCACTGAAAGTTTTTCCATTTTCCATTGAGAAACGAAACCTTCCGAAACTTAGACTATGGAAGCCACGATCATATCTTGCTTAGCAGCCTGGCCAATTACCTTTGACGTAACAAAGAGAGATAAAATTTGTATGGTTTCTGAGTATAATTCACCTTTAAATCTTCTTGTTTACGCTGTATCGTGCTTTGATGAAGTCCCTGATACCCTAAAATACTCATTTCAGAGCATTTATCACTACCTACTCGATTTATAGTTGAAAAGCCTGGCTAAACGACTCGCTAAGTAAAGGTTTTACAAAGGGGACACATTTCGTATTTACTGATTTATTTCCGTTTTCTTTTCTAACACAGACCCTCCTCCTTTGATACTGGTCATCACAGGTGTATCAACTATGGTTGGTTTGATGATGATTTTGTTATTATTAACTCTTTACCTTAAACGAAAACATAGAAATTCGGACGAAGAAAATTCTTTGACACCTGACCCTGAAAACCAAGAAAGCGAACAGAACTACAAGGTTGGCGCAGCTACAACAACCGGGGAACACATAGATCTTCAATTCTCTTCTGTAATGGAGAAAACGGACATGCGCAAGGAGTCATTATCAGAGCAGGAATTGCTCACATTGCAATGTACTTCATGTAATGGAAATGAAAGGAAACAGTCGCAGTCGCATGGTACTTTTTCGCGGGAAAATCTCACACCTATTGCGGAGTAAACCAATCAAAAACCACCATTTTAGCTTGCGCAATAACAAGTTATGGTCGGCTTTCCAACGACACAATCAGGGAAAAAAAATTAAGATTATGTATCTTATAACTCATTAGTGATACGCCCAACAAGATGGCTCAGGTGTGAAAACCTTTCCCGTTCAAATAACGCTAAATTTCTTCTGGCCTGAATTGAACGCAAAGAACACATACAAGGACCTTGATGTTGATTTATTTAAACGATCTAGATCAAAGGGACATTGTTCTTCGCGATGCGGATAACGATTGAGACATCTTTTAATATTCCTGCTCCAAAATACCGCACACCTTCCTTGACTTAAATATGAGGTGTGAACTGCCAAAAACCAGAATTTGAAACTGAAGGAAAATGTCTTCTCTAATTAACTCGAATTCATAAAAGGACGGGCTTACCCTGAAACGACAAATGAGTACATTTGTGGTTTGAATAATCTTCAAATTGTCGCATGTTTTACTGTAAATATACTCTGTAAATATACTCTGTAAATATATATGATACTTGAGTCGCACCATCAAAAGCGGCTCGCAGATGGCTGCATATAATTATTCAGTTATGGCTTGCTCCCTTACAATAAAGCTATTTTTTTCTCTCGATCCAGAAAATGTAGGGAATCACACTTTAGCTGGCTTATAAGGCGTAAACGCAGTGCTAAATTTCTCTATCATTTCCCTTTGTCTGAAAACGTGGAAATCCTTAAAAAAAAAACGAAGCTGTTACGCGCTGGACAGAATCGTCAAAACTCCATCAGATGTTCGTGTGACCTAAAATCAATTGCACATTGGCTTGACATTTGGATCGGCGGGGAAAGGGAGCGGGAACCCACGAAAAGGGGTCTTTATAAAAATTAATGAGCTTATTACCCAAGATAACACAGTCTTCCGGTTAGCTCAATAGGTTAGAGCGCCGGATTGTGTTGTGCGGGAGGTGGAGGGTTCGAGCCCCGGCCGGACCAATACTCATGGCCTTAAAATAAGTGAGGAGAATTTGCTACCTTTCTATAATCAAGAAATGGATAGATATTCTAGTCTTCTCGGATAAGGACGGATAAATTGTAGGCCCCGTCTCCTACAGGGTTAGGGGTAGGAGACGTTAATTTCCCACGCAGGAGACTACTGTGTGGTGGATGTCCTCCCCTGGGTGGGATGGGTGGGTGAAAAACCCCTTACTGGGAGTGGTGAATTAACCTATGTATATGTATATGTATGTAGAGTCCATATCGAGCTCAGTTTGGCTGGAACTAAATATTCTTTGGCGCCTTCTTTTAACTATATTGCGTTCTTTGCAAACAAAAAGCCCCCCTTACCCTCCCTCCTGGGGAGAACTTTTTGAAGAAAGGTATTTACCACTAACGAGTCACTTTTGCAAAGAGGGTATAAAGTGGCGCTAGTTTCCTGGTTATTTTGTTATTTTGTAATGCTGCACCAACTCCCTAGAGAGAACTAACAATAGAAGTGGATTGGCTTCAGTGATCTTACTTGGCATCTAATATACGGAATACGAACAAAAAGATTATTCAAAATATGTCAAACACGCTCCGAGTGCTTGTAAAATTTATGATGCGGAACGCGTTGATACTAAGGACTTGTTGAAAAATTTTAAAGCTCTCGATTAAAACCACGATCCTTATACCGTTTGTGTCATGATGGACAGCCAAATGGTTGTGAATTTCCTGGCCTCTTTATTTGGTGAGTACTCTATAACTGTTTTGGACTCCGTAGCGCTTTGCCTTTAACTTAATTGTTACGTGTTTGACCAGAGTGTAAACAATTGTATAAGTCACAAGACGATGCATGGATCTTGATGGATCAATGCGTAGTACAGTATATAAATGCCATGCTTACCCAATGCCAGTTCTAAAACTGCTAAAACTGGTTGAACAAGGAGAAAACTGTTTACTAAAAGTTATACGAATATCGGGTGGTTACCTTGACTGATACACGGAAGATGCAGTCAAGATTTAGTGTAGATTCGACGAGCTAAATTTTTATTCGGTTAAAAGTAGTCCGTTGACATAATAGATCTGAGAAATCTTTTTTTTAGCTTCGGTCCAGATTTAGACTGGTAGAAGATTGACAACCCTTTTTCACAAACGTATTCGATTTTCGATTTTTTTTTTTTGAAGGAGCGTTTCCCAGTTTGAAATCATGACAGCTTCGCTATCGATAAGGAACCGTTGAACGGTTGAATATTAAGTAATTTGGTTGTAACATAGTTAGTATATTAACTATGGTTGTAACTTCTGTAAGCAATTAAGCTGCAGACGAGAGATTACACGGTTACATCAACGTCTTATTAGGACGTAATGACCTTTAAACGAAAGAGGTTTTTCAGCTTCCTTCATGTAGCGGTGAAACTTAATATCTTCTAGTGAATGTCGTCGAAGTTTTCATTATATTTAATTTTCCTCTTTAAAAGCCACTGGAGTGATTGTACACTTTCGCGCAAACGTCAAGGTTGTGCAACGCTTGGTAAAAAGAAATATTTCGTGGAAGTGCTAAATTAACGTCGTCGATAATGCAACACGAAAAGGTTTCAAATTATTTTAATGTTACCTGAATTGTGCCTCATAAATAAACTAATATTGATAGATGGCCGAATTCCGGTTTCAACATGTACTAAATTAATTTTCCTTGTTTTTTTTTCTTGTCCCTGAGCAAAGAAAGTACGGTTGGGTAAATGAATTTGGATCTCAATTTCATTGCTAAGAAAGACTCAACTGAGGTGATAAGCGGCGAAAGTTTGCGGACTTCTCTTCAAAGTTCAGCAGAACCACGACCGTCTGAGTCACTGAATATGCAAATTTTTATGGTGTGCATGATCTGAGCGCGTGCCGAAGGTTCTCATGCACAATAGGGGATTACAACGAATAAAGAGACCCTTGTAAATCATTGGACTAGACATAATCTCCCCTGAAGGGAGATGGTTTTTTAGACTTATGACGGATAGTTAAAAGTGCCAAAACTCTCCAGGTTTGGGAAAGGTAGCATATAATTCTTAACACTGAACCTAGCTGACCCCATGTCCAGAGGAGTGGGTTTCCATAATTTGTTTGTGGAAAATGTTAAACGTATGTTTCAAGTCAGTGGCTTAGCTATTGAGACGCGATCACAAGTTTGTGAATAATTCTTGATGCTCGCATCGGTCTTACCAATAACCTTTTGTGGGAAAAGTATACCTCTTTCTTCATTTCCTACATTAAGCATTATTTATAAGAATTTAATAATTACCACGTGTTTAAATCGCCAAGAGTACCCTACCTGGGTTAAAAATTCAACTTTGAAGGCCGCCATTTTGAAATCAACCTTTGTAACCAGCCGCGCAAGCACCATGCGCTGTGCACTAACAACATCTACAAAGCACTGTGCATTAACTACATCTATAAAGAAAAGTTTATAATCTTATAGACCGAGGATGCCTCTCTGCGCGGCTGCCAATTGTTCGAAAAGATTTCCTGTGACGGAAGAGGTTTGAGACAATTACGTCACGGGTAAGCAGTCAGGCCGCTTAGCAAGATTCTTGCAACGTTTGTAAATAAGATTCAGGTGCTCTTGAAGTTAAAATAAATTTCGGATGATTAGATGCTCTCTGAAAGCTAAAATCACATCTAAAGTTATAACTTCACACTTCCCTTTTGGTAACGGATATTAAAATTACATGGTTTCTGCAGCACACGTATATACCTTCAGCTTGAATCTATACTCATATCAGCTATTGGCCGACTTAATTTGTTGCACTCTTAAATAACCAGTAAGACTTTTGTTTTGCACCTGAAATGAAATGGTGTTTATGATTTATCTACACAGCTTTCATTGTAATCTTGCAAACGACAAATTCTTCAGGTAAGTTCAATTATATAAACTATCATAAAGTTTTCTCTTTGGAAAACCATTTCTTATCAATTATATATGTACAGTACCGGGAGGTACGGTGGCCTCATGGTTAGTGCACTCGACTCCGGATCGAGTGGTCCGGGTTTGAGCCCTGGCCGCTATTGTGTTCTTGAGCAATACACTTTACTGTGATGGAGTAGCATCCATCTAGTGGGGCGTAGAAATGCCCATGGTCGCTTCATGCTACGGAAACCGGAGTTAAGCGCCAGCCTGATGGGCCACTTGGCTCGCATCCAGACTCTTATGGCGTAAAGTAGGTTGAGAAGTATCTAAAGATGTATTTTCGTTTACCATCTCTAGCACAACGAACGAGTTGCAGCCGATTTAAGAGAAATATCACATTCAACGCAAATGGCAAATCAATGATCTTTCAAAGCCCCTCTTATCCGGGCCAATACATTGTGAATCTAAACTGTACCTACCTGTTCAAGGCTCCTGAAAACCATAGGATTGAGTTGTCCTTCAGCTCCTTTCAATTAGAAGGTGCTTCTCCGCAATGTGGGAATGATTATATTGTCGTCAGAGACGGTTCAAGTAAGGAGAGCCCATTGATCAAAACGTTCTGCGGATCAAACAAGCCAGCTCCAATTATTTCTTCTGCAAATTCACTCTACCTTTTCTTCGTTTCGAATGAAAGAGAAGCCTTTGTTGGATTCAATGGATCTTACAGAGTTATTGATGAAGGTAATTCTAAATAGAATAATTTTCAATTGTGTGTCCAGAGACTGATTTGGGACTGCTTTGGTTTTACTTCGCACTGTGATTGGTCCAGAAAACTCGCGTCACTTTCTCAATACAAATCTTAAGCCAATCACAACTTGGTCGCCCGCGTTTTCGCGCGCTTTTCCGCCCTTTAGGCAGTTTGGTTGTTTTTACTTTGAGTTCTCATTGGCTCCTAAAGCTACCCTTCTTCCTTTTGAGCATGCGTTGTTCTTACTTGAGTTTAGTCTTTGTGACACCTAACCGAAAACGGCTTTAACTGCCAGGCCTGATTTGTCTCCGTATAAAATATGTTCATGCGACGTGGTATAAATTAACATCTTTTCATGTAACATATAAGCACATTAACATTGCACATCACGAGTGATTAGCGCGCATGCTGATAATTCGAATGACCACTTTTTCTTTGTAGCCAGATTGAGCTCGCCAGCGAGTTAAGTCAGTTGTCATTCTTTCATAGACTAGGATGTTAAATAATCGTTTTTCACTTTCTTAGAATCGACAAGAAACTTTGTCATTCATTCTAGTAAAAAGAAAACAAAACAAAAACGAGCCAATACAAAAAATCAAACCAGGGAAAAAAACTAACGAAAAACAAAATTGAAAGAACATTTGAGTCTCTAATGCACGCAATGCAATTACCAGAAACTCGTAAATATGATTGCTGACTGTACAAGTAATCAGGGACTCTATTTTATCCAGAAGGTGCCATAGCTTTTAAGGGACATTATGGATTTCCAAATCTCATTTAAAATTTTCTTTTTTAGAGGACAAACAGATAGGGTTGAATTCCAGCCCTGGGTCCAGTTGTTCGAAGGCCGATTAACGCTAACCAAGGTTTAAATTTTAATCCACGTTTCCGGCTTATTTCTATTCAAGAACCTTTTTGGGAACATTTTCGTTATTCCTTTCAGAGCACCCAATCATAAGATTGTAGACAAAAATAGTTGAACTGAATTTTCTTTCGAAGCTTTCAGATCTGAAATCAAATTTCACTCTAACCTTGGGCTATCTTAACCCACCGTTGAACAACTTGACCCTAGCTTCGAGTTGAGAACCTTTTCCCTATTTTGAAGTTGTTAGATCTTCCTTACTCTTCACAGAAAATCAAACAGCTTTAATCCTTTAAAACCAAAAATCAGTATGCATATTCTCCATACTGATCTGTATACATTTCCTAAAGTGCTGACAAGGAGAAATTGGTTGACAATCAAGAGCTTCTTTAATTGGTGATTATTTCCTTTATTGCCATGACTTTTCTGTTTGATCCGGGGGGATATTATGAAGAGATATTAGATAAAAGCCACTCTAAGGGATTCAAAGGGCTAACTACTGAGAGGTTTGAATGTCTCTTCCAGTTGAGATCGCCGAATGCACCAAAGGAAAAACAATTCCTCCACTTTTCACTCGTGGGTACCTCACATCCCCGACGTTCCCAGCTAGGTATCCACCAAACAGAGAATGTTCGTGGACACTCCAGGCCCCAGCCGGCCACTTCATGAAATTGGTCTTCCGTGTGTTTCAGACCCAGTGCCCCGACGATAATGTTGTCATTCGAGACGGCGATCAAAATGGCCAGGTGTTAGGTCAGTTTTGTGGTGAGCGCGAACTACCAGTCTTCCGCGCTCGAAAATTGTGGGTGTCATTCAAATCTGATGGATCATTTGCCTTGGGAGAAAATGGCTTCAATGCTACTTTCGAATCACTACCTTGTAAGTATTCCACTCGCCACGGAAAGTCGATGTAACTTAGGGGCTAAGTTTCTAAAGAAACTGAGGTGCTGCGTCGGTGGAGGGTAAAACAAGAGAATTCCGTTTTAACAACTGAGTGAGGAGTTTTTAAAGCTAACGTGTCACTCCAAAGCCGAATACAGTGGAATCTCGATTTAACGAAGTGCCAAGGGACTGGGGAAATCGGTTCGTTGTATCGAGGTTCTGTGGTATACATTTTACTGTAACTTTAGCCGGGCTGAAACTGAAGTATCGTTATACCGAGGACTTCGTTATATAGAGGTTCGTTAAATCGAGTTTCCACTGTAATAGGTGATTGTGCAGTCACGGATCGGCCAGGAGTGAAGAAGTCCTGATTAGGACTGTTATCGTTGATTGTGACTCAAGTTTTAACAACCTGAGCGGAATTCTTCATCAGAGAGAAAACAAACTGTTAAAATTTGACATCAGACAACAAACGTCTTCAAACTGCTCTCGCCCGAACGACTGAGCAACACGATCTTTTTTATTGGTCAGGGTTTGAACAGTTATTTCACAGTCATGACTGATTTTTTTGAGTTTATTTAAGTCAATTTCTTGTTGTTTTTCAGTTAAAGGCCACATTACCGACCACTGTATTGGAGGAAGCAACCCAATTATCAACGCTTCCGTTCCGGGTACCATTTCTTCCCCCTGGATGCCCGAACTGTATCCTAACAACATGGACTGCACTTGGAGACTTCAGGCCCCCGTAGGAAAGAGAGTAAATCTTAAATTTGACAGATTTGATTTAGCGAAACCTTGCGGCGCGGACTTTGTTGAAGTTAGTGACGTCACTGCTGACGAAACCCGCTCGAAGGGTAAATATTGCGGAAATTTTCCGGATACCACATCTGCTGGTGAGGAAATTGACGTGAGATTTGTTTCTAATTCTCTAGGGCGCGAGAAGGGATTTGTCATGAAATACGAGGCTGTCAATAGAGGTAAGATTTTACAGAACAATTTAGGTATTTATCTCTCTAAAACACTCCGGCGGTGAATACTAGAGCGAGGTAAGGAAAGGTACGATAGGTCTGTATTAGAGGCAAATTGGATGGGGGTTACCCTACAGCATTTGATCAGATTTCACTGACAATTCGCGCGTTTAAATGAGCGAATTGGTGGAGGGAGGCCTGGTGAAAATGAACTGTTTTGCCCAAGAACACAACCTGATCCGGCCAGGTCTCGAACCCGGGACCCCTCGACCCGGAGTCTGATTCCTCTCCCACACGAGAACGAGGTCATGTTATAATATGATTTTCATCCTCAAAGTGTCTCCACGCAAGCGCCATCTTTCAAGTGTGAAATTTCTCCAATGAATCAAATTACGTGCCCCACATCTCCGTTCGAAGACATGAGGGACTTGAGCCTCAGCTTATATATGACGTAAACTGAAAGTTCATGTTTTATCCACGATTAATGATTATTGTCTTCTACTTGTCAAATAGTACTTGCGCTATAATCAGCCAATTTAGCGGGCCGTATTTCACCGTACGGCAACGTAAACTAAAAAGTTCGTTAGAATTAAAATATTCCCCCTCTATTTGAACCTAGAGATATATTAGATATCTTACTAACCTTCATCCGCAAAGTATCTTACAGAGCCTTGCTTTTTCCGCTCGGATTTATGGCTCGCGCCCTTTTAAGCTTGAACAAATTTATAAGTTGTTATTTTAGGTGAGTCTGAGTCTTAAGAGCTGCGACTTATGTGAATCAGGCTATGTTTCTGAAAAACCGAGCTTCATTTGGCCTCATTAAGCTCAAGATCTTTATGTTTCTCTTACTAAGGGCCATGATATCCGTGGCTTCCCCCGTGACTCCGTCATTGGACAATGCAACTTAAGACTTTTTACTGGCTCAGCCATTATGGTATATGAGCCAATATACCATAATCTAACATCTGTACATTGTAACATCCGGTTTCTTGTTACAAAATAAAGTCGAGAAGATTTGTTTAATATCTTGGGGGAGTTTTTTTTAATAAAACAATTATTCCACTCGTGCTCGTTGGATATGAGATGATTATAGCCAACTCGGCGCTACGCGCCTCGTTGGCTATCTATCATCTCATATCCAACGCGCGCTCGTGGAATAATTGTTAAACATACGTCATTTTGAAATCTGCCTTGTTTTGCTTCAGGATTTCAATTGGCCTCTTCAATGATAGGATGCTTTGGTCTTTACGCCCTCGCAATTCTCACACAAGTTTATTTTATCACTGGATGAGCAAGGACCTACATGGATGTTGAATACTTCGACGACTTCCGTCACCAATGTAATGTCTTTAAACACAACCTCCTTCACAAGTACTCTGTACTCACTTTATTGTCTTCCAAGGAATCAAGTTGTCCTCCTAAATTTTTTTTTTATTATTATTGTTTTCGAAAAGAACTACGAATCTCCTTGCAGTAATAGATGGTAAACTAATAAAATTAGAGACCGGGGGTCTCTGTTATATTCGCCTTTATTTGATTGTAAACTGTTTAGCAGTCTGGTAAAGTTCCCCGTACGGTGTTGTAAAGCGCCATGGATTTAAGATATGAGCGCTCTATAAATAAAAGTTATTATTATTATTAATATTGTTATTATTATTATTATTATTATTATTATTGTTATTATTATTATTATTATTGTTATTATTGTTATTATTATTATTATTATTATTATTATTATTATTATTATTTGTCGCCGGGGGGAGCTAGAGTGGGAAGGGGAGGATGATCAATAGTGACAGGTCCCTTAAAGCCGGAAATAATCTGTTTTCTTCTACCATGTTGCTGTGTCTGTATACGTGAGGGGGAAGGGAGAGAGGTCACAGTCTTAAGTCAGGCTCAATCGCATCTGTTTAAGTATAAATATAAATCTTTCTCTGATACGTGCCAGAAAAATATATGTTTATGCCTATAAACCGGGATTATCATCAAATTATATGATTACTCCTGGCTTCAAACGATCCACCGAGTTAAATCCGTCCGCTCTCAATGCCTATGCAGTGGCAGATCGATCCTAGTCTCCTTCGCAGCCGCTCGGGCTGGAGTCACGCAACGCTACCCGGGGAGCGTTGCGTGACTCCGGCCCGAGCGGCTGCGAAGGAGACTAGATCGATCCAGACTTGAGCTAAGGAGGGGGGTGGCTTTTGTGTGCGTTTACACCGCCAGCTTTTGTTTGTTCTGCGAGTTTTTTTTTACCCAAAATAAGTGGAGGCCCCGGGCCCCTCCCCTAGATCCGCCACTACAGGATAGTGCATTCGGGCTTTGCCTTCATCGTGATAGGCATCTCGAGCGGATAATCTAATGTTAACTATTCGTTAAATATTTTTATTTTGGTAAGCCTATTACAAACTGCAGTTACAAAATTTCTTATCAAGCTACGATGGCCAAAGAGAAAGAATTTTTATTATGATTTAAAGATACTGGAAAAAAGAAATTTTTAGCGTAATACATCTGAAGTGTTACTGTAGGTGTACTTTAGAGGCAGACAAGCAGTCAACGACTAGCTAGGTAGATTTGTGCGGCTGAGAACGGAACCTAAACAAAATTTGGGTGGGGCTTTTAGCGTGGGCTCACTGCTGAGGGGTCCCGGGTAAGAGGCGTGATAGTAGGACAGAAAGCGTTACTCAGCTACCAAAGAAAAGGTCACACTTCTCTCTCACCTCTAATTCACGCGTCACTCGTTCACAATCGAGGCTTAAAACTTCCAATGCTTTTTCTGGGACTCAAAAAAGTGTTCTTTTTGTACTGTTCAAGTCTGGTGGCGATCTAGAGCCAAAGTTCAAGAAATTAATCGTATACATTAACAATAAAAGATTTGACACTGTGACGGGTTACCGGTTAGTTTCCCTATTTTCGTGTGTTATCTCCGCTTAAGTAACTTAAATTTGCAAGTAACCAATCAGGAGTCATGTCTATCCTCATGATATCATACGATATTAAGTGACTGACCTGGTATCACCGTTGCAGGTAAATAAAATTATATTGTGATAGGCATTATATCGAAATTCCGTAAGTTATGGAAACCGGAAAAAAATTCGGCGCAGTACTCTGCGGTGTCACTGCAGGCAGTAAAAGAGTAGCAAATTTGCGGGAGTGAGAATAGAATCTTTTTTGTTGAGGCCTTAAGAGGCCTCATAGCCAAGGAGTCTCAGTTAGCGGAATAAACATACGTTACCGAGGAAATAGATAACAGATCAGACTTCTCTCTCGGTTTTTTTTTTCAACGAAGTTCTTATTCATAATTTCAACTCCCATGAGTGACTATGACATATTTTCTTCTTACAATGTCAGGCAAACAAGTAACGAGGATAAAGAAAAGTATCATAAGCCCTTTATCAGTTGATCCAATACCACATTTACGGTTTATATAAAATGTTCAACTAAAATGTTAATAAATGTTACTGAAAGGTTATGATTTTAGAGATTTCTCTGTTGTTCAGCTCTGAAATTATACTAAAACAATTATCCGCCTCAGGTTCGGTGAATATTGTCAAATAATCCCCTCGACTTCGTCTTGGGGATTATTCGACGATATTCACCTCGCCTTCGGCGAATAATTGTTAAATATAAGGAACCGCTCGACCAATCAGATAGCTGGAAACTCCTTGTTCAGCTCTGAAATTATACTAAATATATATTTTTTTTTTTCTTTGTAAATATGACGTAATTCAACTTTTGGGTTGCAAAATTATATAAATAAACTATCTCATCTATCTATCATTTCCGGCCTCAAAACGACGATTAGACTCTCCTAGAACTATTCAAGTATAACAATCCCCGTCCATTTCTTGGCTACCAGCTTGCACGAGAATTTTAGGGATAATGACGTCACAAAGCTACGCGCGGTCATTTTGCAGTTTGAGTAATGGCGGACGTTGAGTCAGGGAGAAAAAGTCTAAAAGGAAAAGACTTCTACTTCGAATTTTCATTCCACATTTCGTGAGAGTGGTAAGTAAGGATTCTAAAATGTGAAAAATCTGGCAAACTCAAAATTTGGTCACAGTAGCACTTTAAGAAATAGCCGTAAAACTTATCAGACCCTCTATCAAGCGGTCACCCACGGGGAATGGCGGGTGGCCGCTGAATACAGCTTCCAAAGAATAAGGAACATACAAAAAACACGATAAACATAGCCATTTTATGCCATAATTGACTACTTGAGGTACAAAAGTTCGTTAAAAAATACTACTGATTGATTTCGGGAAAGAAATATGGATTAAGTTTTACTGAAAAGATTTTTCTTTGTTCTATGACCTTTCAATACAGGTGAATTGGAATACAAACAGGCCCCTGAGACTCAATCAAACCTCTTCATAGAGGTGACCGCTAAATAGAGGTGAAAATGATCATGATTAAGAGAAAAATACTCGACAACTGACCGCTTAATAGAAGATGAACGCTTAATTTAGTACTGCTAAAGGCAGGCTCGACTGTTCTACGCATGTTTTTTTTTTCCCTGAAAAAGTGTGTTGTTAGCCACGTATTTTTCTCGCTTATTTGTTGTAAGTCGGTGAAGGTTATTAAAAATTGTTTGGTTATTAAGTCTCCTGAACATTAATTTAAGAAACTTACTCTTCATTTTATATTGCTATATTCTTGACAGATTTGCGTGCAACCACTTCTTAAGGTGGCTCGTACCGGTTTTCATCTTTTTGATGGTTTGTAACTTTGAAAGAATACAACAGAAAGACTGACCAAGGCCAGTTGAACGCTTTTACGGGGTTGAATTATATAATAATTGGTTATCCAAAAATAGGTGTCATTTCGTCATCAGCAGTTTCCATGGCAACGCTTCGTAAGCTTATGCAGACGCATTTTTTACCTTGTGGCTTAAATAATTCGAAAACTAACCCGGGGACCCCGTGAATTTAGGCCTTCAACAGTAGCAAGATCTCAAAAATTATTTGTAGTTCTTAATTTCGGTACTAAAAATGGCCCATGAAATTGAATACATATTTATTCCTGTAATTTTGACGGAAACCTAATGTTGGATAACATTTTAGCTTTTACGTCGCCAGATAAACCTGTAAATATACACAATTTACGATTTACAGTTTTATTTGTCGAAAATCATTTGGCTGACATGGCTATTACCCAGATTCTGAATCACACCGACTTGTTAGATTCACCATAATTTTCACCTAGTATGCCTGCAGCTCCAAAGAAAAAATACATATCTTAAACTTTCGTCGCTGAGGTCCTCCTTACTTCCTTACCTCCTCTCCTTCCTTACAGCTCGAGTCAATTATGTCATAAATAACAATGATTTGGTCATACCAGGTGTATACCTGATCCATAATAATAATAATAATAATAACTTGTATTTATATAGCGCTCATATCTTAAACTCATGGCGCTTTACAACACTGTACGGGGGACTTTACCAGACTGCTAAGCAGTTTACAGTCAAATGAAAGCGAATATAACAGATGCCCCCTCCCCCCCTATTCCCAGTAACCAGGCCAGACCACATCACAGTAATCTCGTGAAGTGGGTTCTTTAACGTCCCCTGCCTAACCAAATTAACTAATTAATAGTTGCAGGAGACGGGACCTCCATTTATTCGTCCCTATCCGAGAAATAATCCTATAGGTTTAAAAAGAGATTGGATTATATTCGCCCTCCCGGATATACATGTTGTTATGATAGTCGCACACGTGATACACGCTATCATTCAATACTGCAAACATACTAAAGCTGATGGCATCTTTATCTGAGCTGAGAATACCTTCTCAGTTGATTTCTTAGCATACGTGAAAATGATGAGACTGTAAAGCACTGCCGACATAACGTAGAACTTCATCCACAAAACTGCTGTCTACACATCACAAATGTAACGGGAATGCTCTTTCTTCTTCGTCACAATCAAATAACGTCCTATGAAGGTGTCTTTACTATCAGCTTACTCGAGATCGACTAAATAGAACTCTTCCTTTGCCTCAAATTTTCAATCATATTTTCATTCGTTCTGACTAACGCTCGAGAAGGGTTTTAAGTGGAAACGGCATTCTAGAGATCGGCAGATACAACCGATTGAAAAAGCAGTAACTGTTCTCGCCCGAACGACCAAGCTTCAAGGTCGTGTAATAAATATGACAGGATGTGTGTGTGTGTGTGTCTGTGTGTGTGTGTGTGTTTGTGTGTGTGTTTGTGTGTGTGTTTGTGTGACTATTTCGCTGTCAAATTGATATTTTTAAGATTAGGATCTTGTCAATATTTTTCGCCAGGGGGGAGGGGGAAGGGGGATTTTGGTCGCGAAACAATTAATGTACCTGATTCCCCCCCACTAGGCTCTGTCATATTCTTATGATCCCCCCTCATTGGCAGTTGATTGGCGGTCAATTTTCTATAGTCCTCTTTTTATAACCTTTTGACAACGACTGATCTCCACTTAGTTCCCCCCCCGAAAGCCACGCGATCCTCCTCCCAAAAACTCCCCTTGCTAACGTAATAAATAATGACAGGTCCCTTAGGGCTGGAAATAATCTTTTTAAGTACAAATCTTCTGGTGCTCTTTCAAAAATATTGTCATGACTGGCTTTGCCACATACCTTTTATTCGTGAGGGACAGCGAGTGATGAGAAACGGTTGTGACCTACTCGTACCGTCATTCCATGCATGAAAACATGACTCGTCCTGGAATGACTGGCAGATTTATACAACAAAGAATGAAGGTCATTTTATCGTGCAGTTTGATTGTCCAGTTGGTGACAACCTCGTTCCCAAAGTGTTCATCCGCGTGGAGAGACACTATCAGCCCATAGTGCCCGTCCGCGGAAAATACCCGGATGGATAGTACTCATCAGTGAAAAATTTTGAATGGTTTGACAGCCGCGAAGTTAGACAGATCGGAAAAACAGTGACTTTTCAATTCTGACAGGTATAACGTATTATTTAGCCAATGTACGGTTGCAAATCATTGACATTTGTGACAGACTGTACGCGTGAATAAATATTTGATTGATCTGCATTTAGTGAGTTTTGACGGTTTTTAACTGGCGCGCGGAAGAAAACTCAGTGGTGAACAATAAAGACAATTGAGCGTTTATGTCTCCGAACTATCGGTCTAATAACGTAGCTCCATTTTCTGCCTTTAAAAGCACACACAACCCACAATTCCTCTATTCGCTCCGACGAAGGGCTAACGCTCGAAACGTGAGCTTTTGTAATCGTTACGGTGGCCAGTTTACCATTTTAATCCAAATTATATCGGTCTAATAGTTTCCCCTTGGAAATTTGATGTTCTTAAAAATCTGGCATATTTGTTTTAAGAACATCAAATTTCCGCGGGGCAACTATTAGCCGATAGTCTATTGTCAGTTGATAGTCTATTGTCAGTTGATTTGATATCACAATTATTCCAGCTGACATTATAAGAATCATGACATGGCAGACATTAATTAGAGCTATCAATGAATGTCACAACAAGTCACGCGTAGTTTATGCTTAACCACGTTTAGGGGTTTTCTTTGTACAGCACATTCGCCTTTCAATTTCAACGTGATAAATATTTCAATATCATGATGAAATCACTGATGTTTAACATGTTTAAACACGTGTAATTTTCAGTTGTCTTTCGGTTTTCTATTAAAAATAAGCAGTCAATTGACAATTAAACTTTTCAGGCGAGTTTCCCACATGAAATCTCAGGAGTAAATGGGATAATATTTCCTATGTTTTTTATGACACATTAAAAAAGTCTATTTATCACTTCTTTCATTGTTGTGACTGACTGTGCAGCAAATGTTTTTATATCCAGGCAGTAAGTCAAGAGGAGT